TCAGGAACACATTATTTTGTCATAAAAATCTATTTGTGTACATTTGTTAAAAACTGTATAGTATTAGAATATGCTACTTTACATTAACACAATTTTACATGATATAACTTGCAATAATCAATTGTCCTTCTTCACACTTAGCAAGTGCTTCATTGATACACCATCGACTTATAAAGTAGTCTGTGTTCATGTAGTTTTTGAAGTAGTTATATTCGATAGGAATAATAACCTATGAAACAATTTACTCGAGATGGTGCCCACATCCCAATGTACTTCTGTAAAATGAATAAGTGTATTTGTTTTATCCAATCTCCTTTTAAAACTGTTTTTAATATTTTATTTGTATATTGTGATATTTTAACCATATGTTACGTTTATACATGATTTTCCGACTCTCTGGAAATTAATAGTCAAATGTAGCTTGTATCCAGATTAAATAAAATAAAACTAATACAATACGTGATTGGCCCCAATGACGGAACATTTCGACGAATTCACTACGGTACAATAATATACCTCGTAATCAGGTTGGCATTACGTGTGGTACGAAAACAACAATATTCACACGATACTAGCCAAAAAAGCAAACAAACAAACAAGCATTTTTTAATCAGTTAAGATTATATGGGTATCATTCTCGAAAACGGAAACATAATACATTGTAAGATATGTCCCGGTGTGAATGGTGTAAGTGTACGGTGTAGCCATTGTATTTATGTTCAGAGTTACGAATGACGAATATATTGTGTCTCATAATATTTTCGCGCAGCTTCGATGAAATTCGTTTTTGATAACGCCAACTCCAATCCAATGCCAAGACAACAAACAAATCAAACAGATATGAGTGATTCGTAAATTCTTGAATTGTTCCTTTAATATCACTCTCACACCTGTTTGCGTCCCTCGAGTCACTGTGAAATGATAGTCCGCCACAATGTTGACAGGTTATCCCCATTATGTTACTATGGATACCAATTATGATTAATTTGATTAACAAACGCGTAGTGATGGATATTAAAAATCAATCGTCAACTCATTTCGTATGCTAATCAAATGCAAACCAGCCTTACAAACTTTGGCAGTGGTGCAACGGTATCGCACATTACGAATACATTATAATCGCGACACAGTCATTTATCCTCTCGCTAACCAGTATCGTCGATTTCTCACCCGGAAACTAACTGGAACTATGAAGTGTCTGGCTATATCGTTGATCAAGGCCATACTTACCAGGCTGCTCTTCATTATACACGCATTTATAGCCACATGGAAAGTAGTTGACACAAAATCTGACGGTGTCTACTGGATACTGATTCTACCGTCGTTGATGCTCGTCGCGGAATTCTTTGTTACAACTATAGTGAAGAAAGGTGGAGAGTGGAAATGGTACGTTATACACAGCACTGTACTGTTAACCAATTTGACACCATTTAATAATATTTTTATTCATTGGTGAATGTTGACAAAACGTAACTGAGTAAGTAGAAACGTTGAAGTAGAAACTGAACATGTCCCTGTGAGCGAGCTCTGTTATAAACTTATTGATTTATTTGAATTGCGTAATTATTACGGGATTCTTTTTGTTCACAGTGAATCTAGAGCACGAAATCTTCGAAAATCGTTATTGATGTTCACCTGTCAGTTATACAAGCTTTTGCAACACAAACGCATGATAGGTACAAGGTCTTCATTTTGTATTGACCCATTGGTCGTGCCCCTAAATAAATATGACGTTGGTAGTTCTGGTGAATGCATGGCTATGATGAAAACAAGCATGTTAATACACTCGTGTTACACTTTCCCTTAATCGTATGAAATGGTGCGTTACGCACGACGTGTAGAAGGCGATTAACTGTAGTTGTCGTCACGTAGAGTGACGTATACATATGATGTATGATTATTTATTATAATATATTGTATGAAATTGCTACATTTGTATTAATTGTTCGTATTTATATTTGACTGATATATACCGAGTGGCATTAATAATAATATTAACTCGTCCCAAACGTGACCTAGACAGAATCAATGCCAAAATACAAGTTATTTATCAAAAAGTATAAAGCGTTCATTAATGTACAATATGTGCCCAAGTTATACGGACTATTTTGCGTGATTTGGCGATGAACAATACATCCCTACGCAGCAAGTGGTCAATATTTGTCTAGTAATCCTAACGCCATTACCCGATTTGCAAATAACCCCTTGAAATTAGACAAGGTCACCAACTAACAACCTTCATTACACCTGTATAAATATGACAATGTTGATTCGCCAGGCTGCCTCTTTCAATCTGCTAAGTAAAACGACGAGTTTTACAATTGTTATGCGTTGTTCTACAAGCATTCAACTAAGGCCATTCAGTCTTCAACCACAAAGCAACCTCGTTGGGCATTGTTTTCACAGTATACTGACAATACACTTCAACGACAAGTGGTAGTATCGGTTTAAACATGTATGTATGCGTCAACAACTGTTTTACAACTGTTTTTGTAATTTGAAAGTAAAAATACTTTTGTTCCACAGGGTCCTTCGTTAAAAATTTTCAGATTTAAAAAAGGGAGAAACAATTACTGTGACCCCGTGACTATGCAACAGTGTCGGTATTTTATATCCTATGTATAAGAAATATTAATATTTACGGTTTAATCATTTCGCAATAATGTCGTTCATTTGTTTCCAGAATTGTTAACGTACGTTTCGATTTGGTGGGAACAATTTTACTTAAATTCAGTTTAACTAAAAACAATATTGCCATATGGATAAACCGGCGAATGAAAGGGTTTACCCAAATAAAAGCAGAAGAAAAACGAATTGGTGTTGCCATAGCAACATGCTCTTTAATCTCATTTCACGCAAAACTGAATACTGAGTCGCAAAGGTGACTTGGAATCCCCAAATCAGTTTTAATCCTTAAAACATCGCCGCAAGCCAATATTCGTCTGAATTTAACGAACACATATATTTCGAAGGACGTATTTTATATTGGGCTACCCAACGGCTGTCGCGTAGATTGTTATACATTTGGATCCAAAGTGTATATTGTACTGGCGATTTACGATGGGCGGCAATACAATGTGAATTTAATACAATATAAATAACATAAATGTAGATTCCATTATCCATGATTCAATTTCGAGAATCAAAATATGTTGTCGAAATTATTGAAATTAAATAATACTCATTCAATATCTCCCATATCACGTTGTTGTGTATACATTTAAATATACTGTTTAAAGATAAATTTAAAGTGACACGCGATAATTAAAAAACAAAACAGTCACATTCATTATTGACCCATGACCCTGAAAATAACAATGTATGATGTTGTCAGCGGATTTAACCTTCATTTCACAGCTAATGCGTGTCTATTACCTAAATTCGTTCATTCTCTTTGATCGGCATCGGAAAATGTAACACAGTGGTAGTTGTTATTCCAGTTACTTTGTTGCATAAATCACTTCATTATGTCTACCCCTGACTGGAGGCAACAAGTGGTACCAAGCACGTGTGACGTCACAAGTGGAACTGATATATCGAATAACGCTCGCTAGTTTTCAATCCGACTATGATCCGATGGCACAGTGTTGTTCAATGCATTGAACTACAGTAGACTAATTACCGCTGCGTTACCATATTGGATCAATAGAGAACACCCGTTAAAACAATCTGTAACGAATGGATGAAACCCGCAAAGTTGCGGTAAAAAAAACATTTTCCCGCAAAAATGAATACACGATGTGGTAAGTGTTTTAGAATTGTATGTATTAGCTAATTTAGCTAATCCATAATTTCTCTAATTCAAGATTTCGCTGACATAAAATAAAGTTAGTTCTCACAATGATTCTGTTAATTCATGCATTGGGTCACGGTCAAATTTGCATTACATTTTTAACGTATTTTACAGTACATTGATGAAACTAGATTTGCACTACTGGTTTGAAAGTATCAGTCACGGAAAGTATATCCAGGATTTGGAAGCGTTTTTTTTAAACTGGTAATTGTACTTGGAAACCACTGGCTAACTGAGGATGGCAGGGCACATCCGTACACATCCGATGTTGAATATTTGGAGAGTATGAAAGATGCACTACCGCCGTCGCTCAACCAATCTAAAGACACCTCAGAGATAAACCAGCGTAAACACACAAAAAAATAAAAATTAATGAAACTTTATTAAATTACACAAGCCGACAGCATTTCTTCCATTTGATGAAATCTCAGTTTTGTTCAACGAAGAAAGAGAATATTACGTCTAATTCATTATTCATATGTTAAATGTCACAATACATTGTCTTCGTCAGACTTACTCCCAACGTCATTGATATGCACAGTGCGTGATGGGATGCGACACTCGTACGATTGCATTATAAGTCAAGCAGAACGAAATATGCAAATGAATATTCAAATGTTCCAGGCGAAACAGCATAATTAAAAATATTCAGAAAGTTTCTTAGGACACAAAACTTCAGTATTCAATGATTTTTCACAGATTACATTTGAAGGTTTACGGATAAAATATTACAATATCGATGATAGTCGGTTGAGTGATCTATTAAATAAGAGGAATGCCGGAAATTAATATTTTAATTTATTTTAAACATACTGTCTCGCTTAGTATGACGCATTATAAGTAATAAGCTCATGTTCAAATGATATACCGAAATTAAAAATCTAATAAAGAATTTTAGAGTAATTGATTTGAGATTGGAATGATTCATCGCATACTGATAACTTATCATTATATTGGACTTATAGGTGTATTTTACACTTAGGCTATTTTTATTATATTCATGGTGATCAAACAAAGATATGTATTATACTTAGCGCCGACAACACCAAGATATTTTATTGTATGTTTCTATTATCTTTTGTGACACACAAACTATTAGCTGACCGAACAATATTCGAGATATTCTTGGTGTATCTTTAGAATTTAACTTGAATTTCCTATCCTATACACAATGTGTCATGACTATCCAAGTATAAGCTAAGGCGTAATATATTATATAGAATTGTTTTTACATTTTTGTTGTGGTATTTATTTCCGGGATACGGTAGATATTTACACCATTTGTCTATAAAGAGATATCGCCCTCTACCCGAGGTTATGATAAATCCTAACACCCCGGAATATCATCTTTGACTTGCACACACATTACGTTCATGCATTCAAACCCGATATTATGGAGTAAGTATACCAGTGTTAACTGGTCAATGGGATATCAAACTAGACTCCCATTCCCACTGGTGTGATTACATGAAATTCGGGTATCTTGCGGGGGTATTGATTGTGTGAAAACCTAGAAAATGTCAGAATTGTTGTTGTGTGTTAAAGTAAGCAGCGATACACAATGTTGAGCAACTGAAGAATACCACGTGGTTTTTTTTTAAATACCCATCCCCAAAACGAATGCGCGATAGCCAATAAGGATGGAAGGTTGAATTAGCATTTCCAGAAATAGGATTGATATCTTAGGGTACTTGTAGTGAAGTGATATCTTTACTGCCTTGAACTATAAGGAAAGTGCTCTTCAGACAATGCACTTTATATTATTCATCTTCCCCATTTTATGAGTGGTATTTAAGCGGTATTATGTCCACATTCTAAATGAGTGTTTGTTTACATAATTGCAAATGTTTTATTCTATATTAAATTAGTTGTTTATCTCTGCAGGTTTTGTCCGAGTGTGTTCCTCTACCTAGGCACCATAATACCCTGTATATGGATTCTGGAAGAAGACCTTCTCGATAAACGACTACGAATCATTGCAGACACGGGTTTACCCTGTCGTTTAATTGATGACGTATATTATATCAATCAAACCACGTTGTCAGAATTGAGCGGGGTAAGTGACAATGAAAACTTCAGTGACAGTGAACGCTAAACAGGAATCGAGCGTCTTTAAAACAAAGGTTCACACATAAAAAAAGAAAAATAATCTCAACAAACAAACATACATTACATAATTCAAAAATGGTGAATACAAACAATTATTGATTTTGTCGCTGCCAACTCTTTTTAAAACATAAATTAAGTAAACAATAACATGTTGTGTAAAAACAGAACTACAGCCCCATCCCTCCTTGCATATGGAGCATATGGCACAAGCGGTGTAGCCCCCACCGTGACCCCTCTCGGAAGACTGAGGAATATAAGCGGTGCAGCCCCCACCCCTCCAAGAAGATTGAGGAATATAAGCGAAGTAGACGCACCCGCCCGGCAGCTACAAAAGTATACTAGTATACGATGCATCCCATCCCTCCCGGCACAAGGAAGATTTTAAGCGATGCAGCCTCCACCCCTCCCGGCAGATGGAGGAATATGAGCGATGCAGCCCCATCAGCCAAACAGGTGGGGAAATATAAGCGATGCAGCCCCGCTCCTCCTAATGTCATGAATTTGTTTACGCGTATCTGTTGACCGACTTAATTAGCTGATTATTAGCGAATTGCTGTGTTATGTCTGTCATCGTTTAGGCCTATTTGAAGTTTTGGACGGAACTTGGCTCAGTGATTTGGAACTAATTACGAGATAACCGTCGCTATTCAGACTACTCTTTCTGACAGTTGGTATCCGTAGTTATTAATGTAGTGAACGATTAATCAAAAGATATGACGTATTCAGTACTTAGTGTGATTGGCTTTATGATTGAAGGTTACGCCCTAGAATCTTTTTACTGTTTTGTAATTGGTTAGAGTTTTGAAAATGAATAAAGAGACTTTGAGTTGGTCTTGGCGAGTACACCAGAACAGTGGCAGTCCTGGAGAGTCCTGGAGAGTCTTGGGTCAGCCTTGCGATAGTCTTGGGGATTTTTCCCCAGGGCGCTGTGTCTTATAGAGTGCTCGACTGATCGACTAAGACGAAAGTTGAAACGTATTTCGTTGTGTGTGTCTTATTTGACTGTAAAGTTAAGTGACTTACCCGACCCCGTACCTCAAGGGGACGCGATAGAGAGACGAGACGAGATTGCCCCCTGACAAGTGTGGAGAACCCCGAGGAGAAGAATTTACCCCTGATACTAACACAAGGACGAATATAAGCGAAGTAGACGTACCCGCCCGGCAGCTACAAAATATATACGATGCATCCCACCCCTCCCGGCACAAGGAAGATTTTAAGCGATGCAACCTCACCCCTCCCGGCACATAGAGGAATATGAGCGATGCAGTCCCATCCCTCTCGGCACATGGAGAAATATAAGCGATGCAGTCTCACCCCTCTCGGCACATGGAGAAATATAAGCGATGCAGTCTCACCCCTCTCGGCACATGGAGAAATATAAGCGATGCAGTCTCACCCTTCTCGGCACATGGAGAAATATAAGCGATGCAGTGCAACCCTTCTCGGCACATGGATAAATATAAACGATGCATTTTTAGTTTGCATGTGCAGATAATTTGATTCCTCGAATGATTATTTGAACAGTTTCAGTTTTGTTTCGTGTGATTTTGCAACCATTTCTAGGGATTGAGTTACGTGTTATAAAACTTGATTCACTATATCTAATGCTCGCGGAGATATCACAAAAAAGCGTCCATTCTCCCCAATGTTTCATCATACTTCTTTGGAAGAGATAATACTAGTGATGATCAATTACACTTAAAGAAAATAAAAAAACTTACATGTGTGGGTTTCTGTCAAAAATGATTAGATGAAGGTAAATATCATCGAAAATAAATGTTTTGCACTACCGAGTGGCTTTATCGCTAAGCAGCATAAGCCTCGCCAAACTTAACGTATTTACCATTTTAGGTGTTAAGGTAGCGGGACTATTATTTGCATACTTGTTTTCATCTTCTAATTGTGACTAAATGACTACAAATAGACCCGGGAAAGTATATATTTTTAGAATCGCCAGACTTCAAGCTTTTCACAAGTGTATTTTGCATGCCCGTATCTGCATCAAAGGTGAAAAATTACTTTTTCTGTAAAAAAAATAATTACGCATTTATGCTGGCGATAAGAAGTATTTTTTTTCACTTTTCCTAGTTGTTCAATAGTCTGATAAATTGAATGTGTCTGGTTAGTTTTATTCAAGCAACGCGTTTTAAAAAATAGTGTCCTGAATTTCAATTACTGTTTTAGTCGCATTGCCCCCAACTCAAACCACAACTCGTTGGTAAATAATCGATGAAATAGTTTGTCTGGACACATTCAAGTTCCTCTCATTGTCACCTTAAAGCTGTGAAAATTTGGTGTTAATCCGACGACAATAAGTATACGTTATTTTTTGTTAAAGACCTTGTATTTTGAAAAACAT